AGGCCTTTGTTCACCCCCCGGAGCCGTGTGAGACACTTTTTTTATGGATAGGTGATTTTTATTTAAGTTCTTTTGGACTGAAGCAATGCAACACCCGCTGACTGCAATGATAGAGCTTGAAAGATCAAAGACAAATTTTAATATAACTACGACTGGATTCGTCTGAAAGAAGAAAATCATATACACCTAGGATGCCTCGGGGGTGAGTAAAACGCAGCCTAATTTTCATTTTTGGGTGAACTAACCCTTTAATGCATTACAGTTATTAGAATGAGATTTTTCTCCCCACGTTATGGTAATGAGAACCTGGTTCAATGTGACGAAAATGATAAAATCATAATGGAGAAAATATTCATGATCCTCATCTATTTATTTATTTTTATTTTAAGGTGACATTTCATTGTTTCAGCTGCAATATTTTTAACATGACATTAATTTCTTTCGACATAAATAATGTGAAACACTTAAATCTTGGCTCAGGTAGGCGGTGCTCGCTGGAGGAGGGGCTAATAAAGTTGTGGCCTCCCGAGAGAACCAAGGTGGAGGGAGGTGCATGGATGAAGGAGGCAGGAGGAGACTTACATTTCAGGATCACTGGAGAGAGTGATAAGTGCTGGAACAACTCTCTGAGCTACTAGAGTTTCATTCACCCCCTTCACCAACAGCTGATTGGTCAGAGCAGGGGTGATGTCACAGGATGCATGGAAAGAGCGAGCACAGTGTCATGGAACACCGCAGAGAGAAAGAGAGAAACAAAAGAACACAAAAAAGAAACAACGGTAACAAACTAAAAAACAGCGCAGACATACAACGAAAAACATGACAGAAGCCCAAGGAGGCCCTACACAGATAAATGAAATAAAAATTAAGGGCTAAAGAGGCCAGGCAAATTTAACTAAAGCTACGACCACAGATGAGGAGAAGGGGGTTTCTCACATGGAAGAGTTTCTGAACACTCCTCGAACCTTCATTACCGACTTACAACAGGGTGGGGGGATGAAATGTGGGGGTCGTTACATCATTTGTGAATGGCAATAGCAAGCGTGCTGTGGTGCAAAAGACGTACGGATGCTTTAAAGCTGCAACGACTTTAAATACAAGTAAACATTCAGTGATCTGACAGGCAACAGGGATGACAAGGCACAAGGGGGCCCTAGAGGGAGTGTGGAAAGCTCTGAAAATACATGTTTACCACCTCACACCAACCATTAACATCATATTACAGCAAATTTGCATTTAAAACAAAGCATTAGGTAATAAAACTAATCATTTGACTGGCCTGGAGGATGCTAAATGTCTTTAAACAAACTTGAGGACATTGGAAGTATTTATTAACATTATGGCTAAGTAAACTATGCATGTCAATGTTTGAAGCGGGAATTGGAGGGAGGGCTTACCTCGAACATGCGTGCAGCGGTGCAGCGTACCAGTGCAGATGTATGGACCACTCCATACCAAAGCACCGTCAGTAGAAGCTCATGATACGCTGGGTTTGCCCTGGAGACAGGAAGTAACGGTTTTAGTGGGTAATCACAAAATGACAGTTGATGATCCTACTAAACCTGATCTTCTAGTCAGTTAGACTGCCATTAGCATGAAACGTCTGCTGCATTAGATCATCAGGATACGGGAGTCGAACAAATTGGGACATGTTATTTTTGTACTCAAGTGCTTAAATCATTATTGTAGGTTTATGCGGGGCTCAACTTCAAGGATGACCTACTGGCCTCGGGCCGGTATGTGAGTGTTTATGTCTTGCAAATGTGAACATTTGGTTTTATGTGACATTCGGTTTAGAATGGGTTCTGCTTGTCAACCTTTTAACCTTCAGTATTACATTTAAAACTTTAGTATCAAGTTTATATTAACTTAAACATTTAAAGGGATAGTTCACCCAGAAATGAAAATTCTGGACTATACTGTATGTCCTTGCTACCTTTCTGAGCCTTGAACGTGTCAGTTACGTTGCTGTCTATGGAATCAATCAAAAATATTTTCATTTGTGTTATGAAGATGAAGGTAGGTCTTACGGGTTTGGAAAGACTTGAGGGTGAGTAATTAAAGACAGAATTTTCATTTTTGGGTGAACTATTCCTTTAATATTAGCTAATATTAGCTTACTGGCTAATATACAGTGGTGGCCAAAATGATTAGAACACTAGTATTTTCAACCAGCTAAAAAATGGTTTCAAGACAGACTAAATCCAGAAGAACTGTGGCAACTTTTCCAATATGCTTCAAGAAACCTACCTGCAAAGCTACAGTACTGTGAAAAGTTTTAGGCACTTGTGTAAAAATGCTGTAAAATGAGAAACACACTACAGCAAAAGATAGAAAAACCTTACTTAAAACCATTTTTAGCTGGTGAAAATACTAGTGTTCTAATAATTTTGGCCACCGCTGTAGATGAAACTGTTGAAATTGCAAGAATTACTTGCGATCAATAAGAAAAAAAAAAAGACAAAAAAAAGACAAATCAATTTGTAATGTTTTGCAGTAAAAAGTTTAATTTCCTGCTCTTGGAAGTTTCTTAAATAACTGTACAACTTCCAGCTATTATGGCAAATTTTTATTTGTAATCATTTTTAAATAAAATAAAATTACAAACATAAAAAAAACGAACAAAAAAATCTGAGTAAAAATTGTGTAATAAACTATATTTTCAAAATTTTAACACGATGAAATCATAAAATACAATTATAAATGTAAAATTAATATAAATGTTTACACATTTTGTGTAATCATATTTTTCAAATAATTTTAAAACTATGAATATATATTTAAAACACTTGAAATAATAAAATAATAAAAAATACTTTAAATAAAATTCTTAAAATAACTATAAAATGATAATAATTTTAAATGTGTAAAAAAATTCTAAATATTTTAAAATAATTGTAAAACTATTAAATATTACATTTAAATGATGCATGCAAAAATACAAATTATTTAAAATGATAAATATAAAGTTTTATATTTGCAGTGATAAATTAATCTTAGCCCCCCTCCTTATGGTATTATGCCACTATTTTCATACAAATTTTCATAGCAATTAAGCACGGTTAACCCTCAGGATGTCAGAAGCATGTTATAATGCAAAAAATAATAAATAAATAAATAATAATTACAAATAATTCAAATAAATACAATTATATATTATTAATATTATTATATTACATTATATATTATAAATGATACATGTAAAGCTAATAAGATAAATATAAAGTTATATATTTACAGTAATAAATAAATCTCACCCTGCAAAGTATGAGATCTTATATCTGAGATCGCATTTTTAATTGCATTTTTTAGAGCTTGACAGCCTCTGGTTACAGTTAAACATCTGCTTCTGTGTTCCAATAAAATAAAATCATATGGATTTGGAATAACACGAGGGGGAGTAAATGATGACGGTTTTAACTTTTGTGTGAACTACTACTTTCAAATGGATGAATTAATAAAGCTTCAGTGCATAGAAACTGACAGGTACTCTCAACGGTGGGGTCACGACACTCGAGAGCAAGTCATTTTACATCAGCTTAAAGGAATTGCAGCCTCAGATGAGCACATGCAGAAATGCAGATTTAACAGTGCTGACAGACACTCACCCCAGCTCTACAAATGAAGCCTTTAGACTGTCAAGAGGAGCATGGGAGAGAGACAGCGTGGTCATGACATCCTCAAGAAAGCCAACCAAGAGTTTACGGTCCTCCTCCTGAAACGAACAACTTCATCAGAGAGAGGCTTTTTCTGAATTGAGACATCACACACCTGGCGTACAATGAAGCTCCTACCTGATTGTAGCATGTCAGGACTCCGGTTGCATAGATCGGCACCGTAGCCTTTGTAAGGATGCCGTTTCCTGCGGAGGCGTCTGCAGGACACAATCTGTGTTACAATCTCTAAACATATAACTGAACACTCCGTTAAGAATTAGTTCAACTTATCTGGTAATAATTTAGCAAAATTAATTTCAAACCATTACAATGATACAACATGCCCAGTTTTGTTGGCAGATACTTTAACCATAGACTTTTTTTAACTGAACAAACATTCAAAGAATGAAAGAAAAAGCTCCATTTCCAAATCCCATGAAGAGTGAAAACACATATTTGACACACAAGCCTCTAGCATGGGAAAGAGATATAGAGACGAAGAGAGTGAGTGTGTGTGTGTGTGTGTGTGTGTCGCTGACAGCGGGAGTATTATTTTTGGTTAAGTGAACAGTCACTCACCCACATTCTCCTCAGATAGCCGCAGGATTTCTTGGAATTGAGGTTTTACCTTCAAAAATGAGGGGAAAACAACATCTACATTAAACTGAAACTGTTGGAACGGTTTGCAGCACAAGCTTTATTTAGCTACTTCACTTAGTCAAATATAAAAAAAGTACATGAAAAAAGGTGCTAGAGAGAGATTACTGTACGGCAAATGTCTTTTGACCTGTCCTACCTTAGTGTTGGTAAAGATTTTCCCAAACGTTCGACATAATCTCCAGAAGAACCTGGAGAACTCGTGCACACAGGTGGATGAGGTGACGTTGATGCGTCCTACAATCTCTATAAGCTGTGGTAAACTGTGGAGAAAAAGACAGAATCAGGTCCATTGCAAATGTAGGTAAACTTAGACATTTACATGCAACATATGGTGAGATGTATACATATACAGTCACTAAAAGGATTTCAAACGCATTGTACCTAACTGCACGATCGTACCTTCATGAGTACCTCAAATGTGCTGCTCATACCTTTAGGACTTTGATATGTAAAATGATACAGTAGTTTTTGTACATGCTAATAGTGCAGCTCAAGCTGCTGATCAGCTAACAAGTTCAATGTTAAAGATCACGGAATGGCTAAAACATAATTGTTTACAACTAAAACCTAAAAGTTCCCGTGCGGAGTCAGTTGTAGTCATAGATGGGGAGAGACTACAAGTTGTCTCAGATTTTAAATATCTGGGTGTATATATTGATAGCAATCTTACTTTTAAAACGCACATTAAGAAGGTTTGCAATCATATTAAGTTCAATTTGGCAAATTTTAGATATGCCCGTAGCTGCATGTCAACTAAGGCTGCGAAGATGTTTATGCATTCGATGATCTTCTCACATACAAATCCATATACGATCATCACTGTGATATTTAAAAAAAAAATACAATATTTTAAGTTGGGAAAATTTGATTATATCTACAGATCTTTGTCTTATGTATAAAATCAGACATGGACTGGCTCCTCCTGTATTGAATCAGTTTGTAAACGTAGCACCATCTGCTTACAGATTAACGAGAAGTGCAGTAAGAGGTGACTGCATAGTCCCTTTAAGAAAAAGTGCATTTAGTCAAACAGTGTTTTCAGTTAGGGCTGCTCGTGAGTGGAACTCCATCCCAACTGATATTACAAATTCCAATACTTATGCTTCCTTTAAGTTTCACTTAAAGAAATGGTTAATTGAGAGTCAGCATTATTGTGCATTTATGTATTGTTGATGTGCATTGTCCCTGTCAAATAAACCTGAAATAAATAAATAAAAGACCTCTGTTCTGATTGGCTAACTAATACAAAAAGGGGGAAAAAATTATATATATTATATACAGTATATATATATATGTAAAAACATTTTAAAGTGGAATATATTTTTTATTTAATATATAATAAATAAATAAATATATAAAATAAATAAAATAATATAAAATAAACAAATTATATTATAAAATATAATATATAAATATATATATATATATTAGGGGTGTAACGGTACACGTATTCATACTGAAGGTCTTTCGGTTCGGTACGCACTCTTTGATGAGGCGTGATAGCTCACTGTGTGAAATTAAGTCTAGAGAAGAGCATTTCGCGAAATATAGACTATATAGCTACTCATAATATTTTACTTTAGTGATGTCGTAATCACTTAATGTATATTTAAATAAATATTTTATCAAACAAGTTATGACAGCCAATGTGTAAATGATTAGATTTAAACAACAAATAGAATTATTATTAATAATTTAGAAGCTAATTTACAAACTGCATTGAGTGCAATTGACATGTTTGCATACAATTTTTTTTTTATTTGAGTGTTGATTATTATAGTTAAAAATAAATAGTAATTAAGTTTAAGTTTGGGCTCTGTTGTTAATTGTAACCTTATAGCAATGTAAAAGGGCTCCCTATAGTTTAGAGCAGAAGTTGAGGTAGATTTTTAGTTATTATTTTATGAGGTAGATTTAAAGAACATTTTAATTATAATTTAATTTATTTAAAGAGTAATTTGTTCAGTGAAACACTGAATAAAAAAAAAAAACAATAAAAAAAACAAAAAAAACAAAAACAATTTATGTTTAGTATTTTTTCCTCCTGATGTACCGAAACCATACCGAACCATGATGTCAATATATATATATATATACGTATGTATATTTAGATAAATAAAATAATTAAAAATACAAATATATTTTTACTAAAAGTACGTGTACACACATATATATATATACATATATATATACACATACACACACACACACACACTTTATTAAAAAAATATTTTTAATTATTTTATCAAAAAATAAAACATTTTCATTCCTATTAATTTTAATTTTAATAAGAATTAACTGACGCTAACATCTTCAGCCATTTACAAAAACTTCTGAGTTTGTCTGGAGTGGCCTATTCCAAATGTTAATATGTTCTTTGTTATGACGCCATCTGACACTTTCTGACCCTTAGGTTTCCCTTTTTCTAAATAATCTGGGTGGGATGAAGAGACATCTTTGGATTATGAATTCTAACTGTATATCAAAAGATCAAGTAAAGTGTTTTTATGAGCCGTTTCTTTTTAACGAACACATAGGCATGCCATTTAATGCTCTAGAATGTCTGAGGTGTGGCCTTGTGCTCCAACATGAGTGGGTGACCCAAGTTCCTGTCTCCACCTTCAATAACAATGGCAAAAACCAGAGGTCAAAAGGGGGAAAAGTGTGCGTGAGACATTAACATACAACTGGTTGACCACCCAGAGCAAACTGTCCCATCCTGTAGTTCCTTCATGCTGGAGCTGATGATCAAATAACTGCAGCAGAACTGCCAACTGCTCTCGGCTGCCCACGATGGTGGCCACATCCTGCAACGGGGAGGCTGGCCGCGGGAACCGGGTCACTGCGAGGTCACATGCACACACACACACACACACGGGAGCAGATTTTAAAACCAAGAATACACCAAAAAAAAGCATAACTGCACAAATCATCTGACGCAGCGGCCGTTCGTAAATGAAAGAGCACTTTGATAGTGAGCCCAAAACCAGAGAGCAACCTCAACATGGCAGGAACCCTACAGTTACACTGAGTCAGGCGCCAGGTCTGCGTAGCTAAACGTGGCCTGACTGAGAAAGTTAGCGAAAAACGCGTGCGTGTGTGTTGACGTTGGCCGACCCTCACCCTCGATTGGAGGCACGTCTCCCTGTAGTTTGGCTCGACTGGTGAAGGGGGCGTTCTGAAGCAGCACCGCAAATAGAGACGGGATGAGGGACTGAAGCGCCGACAGATACATATGTAGCTTGTGTTCATCTAGACCATATTCACCCTGCTGGAGGAAGAGAGAGGAATTTAGGAATTAAATAACTGAAGGAAGCTAAAAGAGTGTGTCTGTAGTGCTGGATATGTTGTGCTTAGTTACTTTGTGGGCACACAATGTCTCTAAATGTTCTGAGAAGAACTGCAAAACCTGGGCTGCATTTCCCAAAAGCATCGTAAGCCTTGATTACAATGGTTCTACGATCAACTTAGGCTTGTGATGCTTTTGCATTTATTAGGTGAAAAATACAGTAAAAACAGTAATTTTGTTAAATATTATTACAATTTAAAATAACTGCTTTCTATTTTAATATATTTTAACATGTAATTTATTCCTGTGATGTAAAGCTGAATTTTCAGCAGCCATTACTGCAGTCTTCAGTGTCACATGATCCATCAGAAATCATCCCAATATGCTGATTTGGTGCTCAAGAAATATTATTATTATTGTCAAATTTTTAAAACAGTTGTGGTGTTCTTTGATAAAGTAATAAATGTTTTTTTTTTTTTTTTGAAATAGAAACTTTGTCTTTACTGTCACTTTTGCTCATTTTAATGTCCTTGCTAAACAAACGTTTTAATTTCTTAAAAAAAGGGGGAAAAATGGAAAAATGTTATTCTAAATAAATATGCAATTCAGAACAATAAAGACTTCATTCTCAAGGCACAAATATAACTGATTTGAAAATTAGATTCCAAATATTTAAAAATAAAATGATCAAATAATTCTATTCTAAATAGATTCAAAGATTCCATTCTAAATATTAAACTCTGAAAAAAGATTCAAAAGATTCCATTTGAAAGATAATAAAAGATTTGATTATGTTACTTAATAAGATCCAAAAAAAGATCAGAAATATTCTGTTGTAAAGATTAAATTCAAAAAGCCTTCATGGTTCCAATCTAAAAATTCATTTCTAAAATGATTCTTAAGTATCACTCCAATAATAAAGTTCCATTAAAGTCCATTCTAAGTATTAAATTCTAAAAAGATTTAATATATATATATATATAAACTATATAGATTCAAAACAGGCCAGGTGAAGTCTAAACATGCTAAACAAAATGAAGGGTCTTCACAAGAAAGTTAGTGTGTGTGTGTACGTGCTGGTTTTCACCTTGAGCAGCTTCTCGATGCGTGTGAGGAGGGAGGGGATGAGCTGGGACTGTAAGTTGCCCAGTTCTGTGCACCAGGCAGCGAAGGCAGGAATGAAAACTTGGTGGGTGGCACTGACCACTCTCTCTGATGGGTCGCCCAGAGACAACAGCATCAGCTCAAAGCCCTATTACATAGCCATATACAAAATAAAGCAGACTTACATAAGAAAACACTAGTAAAGTAAGTGTAAAAACACTGGATTGTGCTTGAGCACCAAAACATGCACACACCTGTGAGTATTTGTCTGGGTCGTCAATGAAGCCCATTATGATGCCCAAACTTTTCACCACAGCCTCTCGGACCATATCGGCTTTATCTTCCGCCAACATTTGCTGGAGCATGGACAGAACCAGAGAGCTTCGGATCTCCTTCTGTAGACACACACACACACACCTATACTTGTATTCCCATGCCAGCTCTGAATTGCCTACACAACATCTTTTTTTGTATTCTGCTGTGTTTGATAAAATGATGAAGTGTTCATACTCACGAGGGAGTGAGTAAACATCAGACACTTCATTATAGACTGGAGCATACAAAGGCAAAAAAGGCATAACACCGACAATCAGAGCCCCGTTTGAGCCAAATCAGTTCAGATGTAAAGGCCAGTTTTTTATAGAATTAATAAATGAAAATTAATAAACCTTACGACTGTAACTCTATGATATACAGCCAATGTAAACTCCAGTTACTCAAGTCTTAGTGTCACTAATCCTTCAGAGATAATTCTAATATGCACATTTGGTGCTCAAGAAACATTTCTTATTGTTATTAGTGTTGAAAAAAGTTAATATTTTTGTGGAAACAGGACATTTTTTATATAATTCTTTTTTTTTAAAAGAAAGTTCAAAAGAACAGTATTTATTTGAAATAGAAACTATTTGTAAGAATGCAAACGTCTTTACAGTCACATTTTTATTTTTATTAATTTAATGTGCCTTTGCTGAATAAAAGTATTAATTTCTTTAAAAAAGTAAAAGTACTGACCCCAAACTGTTGAACAGTAGTGTAAAAGACTGGACAATTTTATTCTTAATAAATACACAATTCAGAAAAGATTGAAAGACTTCATTCTCAAGATTCATATACAGTATAACAAAAATTGAAAATTAGATTCAAAATATTAAATTATAAAATGTTCAAATGATTCTATTCTAAATGGATTTAAAAATTTCATTCTAAATATGAAATACAAAAAAAAAAAAAAAGATTTAAAAGATTTAAAATGGAAAAGTCAAATATAATAGATTTGGTCATTTGAGTCTAAATATAAATTTTAAAAGATTCAAAAGATTCTATTGTAAAGATTAAATGCAAAAAGGATTCAAAGAATCTAGTCTAAAGATCCAGTTCTAAATTGTTTCTAAGGCTGTTTTAATATATGAACTGCCTCCTAACTGTTTAGAATCGAAAAAAAAAAAATCCATTCTAAAAAGATTCAAATATTTCACTATAAAGATTCCATTCTAAATATGTTTTTTCTCTTTTTGATAAATGTAACATGTCCTTGCTAAATATAAAAAAATTATTCGTTTTTTAAAATAAATAAAATAATAATAATAATAATTTTAAAAAAAATCTTACGGACCTCAAAACCATAATGTCAAAGACTGGCAACTTTTATCCTAAATAAATATGCAACTCGGAGAAGATACTGTACTTTTGAGAGTTTACTTAAAAACTAACAGTAAACATAGGGATAGCTTCAAATGTTTTTGGACAATTTAAATCAGACTTTATGTCTGAGAGCCATCATAAAAATGACAGAATATTCACAAATACATAATGGATAAAACCTTTCTGAACCATTTTGTAATTACTTTTACATTTTTAAATTACTTTTAAAGGGATAGTTCACCCAAAAACGTACTCACCCTCATGTCGTTCCAAACCTGCAAGACCTTCGTTCATCTTCGGAACACAAAGTAAGATATTTTTTATAAAATCCGAGAGCTTTCTGACCCGGCATAGACAACTACGCAACTGACACGTTCAAGGCCCAGAAAGGTAGTAAATACATCGTTTAAATAGTCCATGGGACATCAGTAGTTCAACCTTAATTTTATGAAGCTGTGAGAATAGTTTTTGTGTGCTAAGAAAACAAAAATAACCACTTTATTCACCACGTCTTCTATTGCGTTTCAGTCTTCGATGCGCGTTCACGAGAGTACCATGACACATGCGAACAAAGGTCTTATGGATTTGGAATGAGATAAAGCAATAGAGCAATTAATGATAGAATTTTCATTTTTGGGTGAACTATCCCTTTAACCAACTTTAAGGGTACTTTTTAAAAAAACTAAAGTTTAATTATTATAAATAATTAAATTATTATGCATTTTTTTCTGTATTTATCTAATAACAAAAACAATCTTAAAAGACTTTAAAAAAAAAGTATTAAAAAAGACTAAAGTATTAAAAAAAATTTAAATATTTGAAAATTCAATCAGTATTCAATTATGTTCACTATGTCCACAGAAATCTAATTACTAAAGTCTTTAAGTCCATTTCGAGAGATTTAAATATAAAGATTTTTTTATTTATTAAATATTTGATTTTAAAGTTGAAAAAATTCTTTTCGAAAAGGTTCAAATATTCTATTATCAAGATTACATTCTAAATAGATTCAAAGATGCTACTGTAAAAAGATTTTAAAATTCTGTTACATTGATTCCACTGTAAAAAGGTTCAAATATTCCATTATAAAGATTTCAATGTAAAAAGGTTAAAATATTCTATTATTAAGACTCCATTCTAAATGGATTCCAATATTCCATTCAAAAAATATTCTAATAACCCATTTCAAAAAGATTAAAAAATTTGAAACCGATCAAGCAAAAGCTAAAAATGCTCAAAAATATTTAAGTGTGACTTAAATGTCCAAAAACATTTGAGACCACTTTATGCACCATATTCTACACTTCCGTAGTACTTTTTTTTAGTTATGTAATGTTTTTTTGACACCAAAAATAGTTATAAATGCAGTTTTCCATGACATTATTACACTTCCTCTAACCATGATAAACAGTAGTTTATTGTGCCACTGCATCTTCTATATGTAAATCAGCCATGCTTTGATTGGCTAATCTTTTCACATATGAAAACTATTACAGATGTACTGATAAAAAAAGTTCATAGGATGTTACAAAATTGTTGTTTTGACCATTTGGTTTGTGTGAATGACAGAGTGTGCCTACAAAGGAATTCCTGTTTTTTTCACTAGTTTTTTTATGTGGTGAGTGTGTGTACGAGTTCAGAACTAACCTGTTCCCAGCACTGTGGCAAGAGTTCAGCTTCCACCCGAGTGGGACCCACATGTAGGGCGAATGCCACACACCCGGTCAGAATCATCTGCCTGGAGAGGAAGATTACAGCAGAGTGTTATCAAACTCGTAACAAACCGATTTTTTTTGGTCAGTTTACACATGCGCAGATGCCCAAATGCGCACACACCTCTGCTCATCGTCAGGTCTCTTGATAAGATTAAAGAGGATGTGCAGTAGCTGGTCTCTTTCTTTGGGCTCGGGATGCAGGCAGGCCGTACACAGAATGAGAGGAATCAACTCCTGTGGACACACACAGGAAAGCAGGTCATATAATATGCAATGCACAGGGAAATAAACACACACATGCATCCGCTGAGACACGTCCCAAAGGGCTCGGACAGGGAACTTCAGCAAGCAGGTATTTGAGGATATAGGGAAAATAAAAACTTCTCTATTGAAGAAACACCTTCACCACAAAGGAGAGAGTCTACAAGCCACTCAACCACAGCACCAACTAGGGCTGGGTGATATAT